ATATCCACATCTTTCGATATGGGCGATTTTCTAAGGCAGGCCTTAAATATCTGGTGACGCGAGTCTTCATCAGGTAGAGGAATGTAAATAAGCTGATCGAGTCGACCGGGTCGGAGAAGTGCTGGGTCAATGATATCGGGCCTGTTAGTGGCACCGATAATAAAGACAGTTTTTTTAGCATTCATTCCATCCATTTCAGTCAGAAGCTGATTCAGCACACGGTCAGCCGCCCCACCTGCATCTCCCACACTGCTTCCTCTCTGTGCAAAAGACAAGATACAATCAAATCAAGAATCGAGCACAAATAATACGCAAACTAGATTTGTGCAGAAAGAAGAAAAGAGATAAAAACCTGAGTTGCAATGGAGTCCAATTCGTCGAAGAAAAGGACACATGGAGCAGATTGGCGAGCCTTGTCGAAGATTTCTCTGACATTAGCTTCGCTCTCACCGAACCACATTGTTAGTAGTTCGGGACCCTTTATGCTGATGAAGTTTGCCTGGCATTCGTTTGCAATAGCTTTGGCGAGTAGAGTCTTTCCACATCCAGGTGGACCGTAGAATAGAACTCCCTTTGAAGGCGACATTCCAAACTTTTCGAATTTCTCGGGATGCTCCACTGGATATTGAACAGTCTACACAAAAAAACACAAGACGAAGAGGGTTCATTCAAATTCGCAAAAATACAAAATATATAACAGAAAGCAAAAAGAAACACCAAATTTAAAGAAGTATGTCTGTATTACCTCTTGGAGTTCACGCTTGACACCCTCGAGTCCACCAATATCTTCCCAGCTAACATTGGGAACTTCAACAACCTATATCAAATAATGCACATCCAATTAAAAATTAATGAAAAACGAAACCTTAAAAAAACAAGGGGACGTAGGAGAGACACGCTTACTGTTTCACGTAGAGCAGAGGGATTGCTTGTTCCAAGAGCAGTCTGGAAATGCTCGTTAGTAACAGCCATTGAGTTCAGTATCTCCGCATCAATAGTATCGTCTTCCAAGTCAATCACATCCATTTTCTCCCTAATACACTGAAGAGCTCCCTCAGTGCACAAAGCAGCCAAGTCAGCACCAACATATCCATGCGTGTCCTTGGAAATCCTCTCCAAATCAACCTGCAAAAAATTGTCAAAAGGTTATATTCCCATTATCACAGAATATTCTACAAAGTAAAGAAAAAAACCCAGAGATATTGTAAGCATACATCTTCAGCAAGTTTCATGTTCTTTGTGTGGATACGGAGAACCTCCAAACGTCCAATTTCATCAGGAACACCAATATCTATCTCCCTATCGAATCTACCAAACCTTCTCAAAGCAGGGTCAATGCTATTCGGACGATTTGTAGCACCCATTACAATAACATGCGCACGCGATTTCAACCCATCCATCAAAGTCAAGAGCTGCGAAACAATTCTCCTCTCGACCTCACCATTCGTTTTCTCTCTCTTGGGAGCAATCGAGTCAATCTCATCAATGAATATGATTGATGGTGCATTCTTCTCAGCTTCCTCGAAAGCCTTCCTAAGATTGCTCTCACTTTCTCCGGCCAATTTCGACATGATTTCCGGTCCATTGATACAGAAGAAGAAAGCACCGGTTTCGTTTGCCACAGCTCTGGCGATTAAGGTCTTTCCAGAACCTGGAGGACCGTAAAGAAGTATTCCCTTTGGGGGTTTCACACCGATTGATTTGAAGAGCTGTGGGTGCCTTAGTGGAAGCTCCACTAGCTCGCGAATCTGAGCCATCTGTTTGCGGACCCCACCGACATCATCATAGCCGACCTCGTCCAAACGATCCTCGTCCTCTCTTTTGATTGGCTCCCCTTCACAGAAGATTTCGGTGTCTGGTGCAACCACACAGTACTCGGAAGGCTCGGTTTCGATAACCTTGAACTCTACACTTCTCATTCCTCCACGAACAAGAAACAGGTCACCTTTTCTTACGGGACGGTATGCCTCTAGGAAATATGCTGAGACACAATTGGAAAGATAGGATTCAGCATCCAGGCAATCAAGGGAATAAAAAACAAAAAACAACTACCTCAAGTTCTCAGGTGTAATGCTTTGAAACGCGTAACACCAATCATTTTCTATTAAAATTTTACAGTACCTCAAAAAGATCTTATCTTTTCCAAAAAATTACATTATTGTGCCGAAGGGAACCGGCAAAATTTTCACTATATTAATCAATACAGCAAATCAAAATCTTTGAATACAAACATAGATGGCATTGCAGATATGATGACCCTTATAAATATAAACAAGACTGAAGCAGAATATAAATGCTAAGAACTTACGTTTCAGGTAAGCGTCAAAGAGATTTCCAGTAACCCCTTCAACAGTATCATCCACAGGGAGGATGTGGACACGCTTCCCATACTTGACATCAGCACATTGATGCACAGAAACCACATCTCCAAGCCTAACCCTAAGGTTGCTTCTGACAACCTTGTTCATTCGGATTTTCGGCTCATCGCAAGTTTCGTCAGCTAGGGCAATGCATATTGTATCTTTTCTTTTCTTACCCTATGACCAGAATAACAATCACACATCAGCAAACAGATAAATAGTGTTCACTTACAAACATTACGTTTTTTAAATATTTACTGTGTTAATGAACAAAGAGGTTTCACTATCTTCTTCAATCAATACATACACAACAATTACTTCAACAAGAATGCCTGTAAGGCTGTAACAAGGTTTGTGATCATACAATTCTACATATTGTATCAGTAAATTAACATTCAAACGTTCAATCGGAGGAAACCCCAAAAGTAATCAACCAACATATACACAACACAATTGTGTCCCAAAATATTAAATTAATCATGTTATAACACTTACTGCATTAGAAACTATTTTCTATCAAACCCCACCAACCAAGTAAACCCATTAAATTTTGAAACCCCAGAACTTTACCAGAGTCAATAAAATACATCAATTGAAAAAAAAAACAATCCACAGTCAAGAAAGGGAAAAAAATTAAAACCTTGATTAAGATGGTGTCGCCGCGGAAAAGCTGGAGCTTTTCCATAGTGTCGGGGTGTAGAGAGACCACCGAATTATCATCATTGATAGCCTCATCGACTACTAGCCGATTCGCCGCCTTTTTCTTCTCCAGAATAGCCGTGCTAAAATCCCTCTTCGTACCCTTACTACAGATTACAGAACAAAACCCACACAAATTCAATTTTAACAATCAATGTAAAATCAATCGTGCAAAAATTCGACAAGTAAAGTTAAATCGACAAACAAAAAAAAATTGACAGAGATCTGAGAAGTGTGGAAACACTTACGAATCGGACGATTCAGCTTGATTACTCATGATTCCGAATCGAGAATAGAAACAATTCTTGTGTTTAGGGCTCTTTCGCGAGTTTGTTGATGAACGGATTGGGGAATGTGAATGAGAGAGATCTGGGAATTTGGGGGAGAAATATATCAATTAAATAGGGAAGATGGCCTCCGTTTCTTGTTAGGAAAGAAAAGTTTTAATTTCAATTATTTTTATTTTTATTTTATTTTATTATTTTTGGAAACAAAGATGCCTTTTTATGACTTATGCTTCCCTTATTTAAATTTTACCTTAGTTACTATAATTATTAATTACAATTACAATTCCTAAAAGGTAAATAAAATAGGTCGACTATTCAAATTGGGTCTTTCTAGAGTGTATTCCCTATTTCAAATATTAAATTAAATAATATTTAAATATTTTATTTCATAATTTAATAGAAATATGTTAAATCCCAAAGAAGGATCTAGAAGCAAAAGTTTGAGGGGGGCTTTTGCTTGTTATCGTTGCCTAATAATTATTCTTTCTTTTTTGGTAAATAACATATAAACCCCTGTGGTTTAAACTTCATGCACATGGGCCCCGTACTTTCAATATAAGTATATAATCCCCTGTATTTTGAACTTTGTTCGCTTTAATGTAAGTACATAATTCCACTATCGTATTCCATTTGGTGAATAATCATGTTTATTAGGAAGAAATATTTTTTTTAAGTTCAAGGGGCTCACGTGCTATATTGAAAGTACAAGAGGGTCATATGAGCAAAACTTAAACGACCGGAGGGGTTAACTGCTATTTATCCTTTTTTTCTTTATGTCAAATATATTATCCGTTTGGAATCCCAACATAATATTCCTTAATTATCATACAAGTCAATGAATTCAAAAAACCTTTATTTAATAGCTAAAATTATGATTAATCAAATAAATTTAACCTTATTATTTTTAAATTTGACCTTTGATTAAACTTTGCAAATTGATCAAAATTCCTGTATTCAGATCCATCCTCAACCACTGCATTATGCACCATGTTGTTGAATGTCTCCACTCATCAAATCTTCAATCAATTGTGCTACTCTTTTATTTTTTTCCTAGTAACCCCTTACATAATCACAAAGATTAATCACAATAATCTTTTAACTCCAATCATCAACCTCTGATTTCCGATTCGTAGTCCGATCGTTTCGAAACGCCGCTGCCAAACGAGACGTATAAAACTGAGCCGGAAAATAGGGACAAGGAAAATAATTTCGAAACCGTGACGATTAGTTTTTGGACATCACTTTCTTATATTAACCAGGACGCCTAGAAATGATCGCAATGAGGAAAAATATAGTTCTTGCAGGATCATATATATATATATATAAAGTACACATGGTTCGAAATCCAATATCGAATTCTTGAATATCGAATTCCATCCACAGAGAGTCAAGAACCCCACAACAACCGGTTCGAAATCACGGCATTTTGGTTACACCAAGAAACAGTCAACCCTTCATCTCTAACCTCATTCTTGAAACCTCGGGCAAAAAAAAAAAAGAAAACATCGTTTTCCTCACGGATCACCCATACAAGGTTTGTTCCGCTCGTGACAAGTCCGTAAGCTATTTCCTCAGTTATCTGCTTATTGCTCTGAGCAAAACTGCCAAACGAGACATATAGAAACGAGCCAACAGGCTTGGATTCGAGCCACTCTGTGTAGTCTGTTTGGGCCCACAGGCTTTTGGGGACAACGGTTTTGGTGAAATTATCAGTTGGGAAGTTTATTGGACCGATTGCATAAGTGGGCTGTTTTTCGTTTAGAGATGATAGTGTTTTTCGTTTGAGCTCGTTTACTGTGTTGGTTAAGATGAAATCTGCGTGTTTCACCTGATCGAATGCCTTGATCACAATTTTGTAGGCCATGAGTAAAACGTGTCAGCGATCATCATATTCATCGGACTGGAATATTATCTCTCCGACTAATTCTTGCGCACGAGATTGGAAAATCGCGCAGCATGATTTCCCAGTACTCGTTGAAGGTAGAGAATCCTGTAGTAATCCGACGGATACCCATCGTAGATCATTGTGTAGCGTATATCAAGATCGCCCGATTTACGTGCTTCGGAGAAGAAATCGATCTCGTTGAGACAGGTGTCACCTTCTTGTTGGTGGGCTTCGGACAACATTTGGTGAATGAATTCGGTATGGACAAGAGTGACGGTGCAGCTATTTGAAGCGAGTTTTAGAGCAAGGTATATAGATAGAGAGAGAGACGATAATGAAGCATGGTTATTTTAGTACACGAGACGGCAAATCTTACACGAAAATGGTAATAGAAACATAAAGAAGACACAAGTACTAATAAAATGTCAAAAAAAATCAATATTTGGGGAAATCATCCTTCTTACACCTATTGACGATTTCATCGCATACATCGCGAACGAAACAATCGAAGTTTTTCTCAGATGATCCATAATTGTCAGTTACCGCATTCTGCAGAGTCTTTCTCACTTTCTTGATTTCATGTCTTAACTCATCCGATTTTTCGCCACTCATCAAAATACCAATTTTTTCAGCGACTTCCTCCTTTGTAATAGAATCTCCATCGCAGAGATTTATTCCAACTCTCCAATCATCCACCACCAATTTTCTGTTGGTAATTTGATCGGTAAATAAGGGATAGCAACTCATTGGGACATTACACCAAACACTTTCGAGTATCGAATTCCAACCACAATGCGTTACGAATCCACCAATGGCTGGATCCGACAGCACCAGATTTTGCGTGCACCAAGGGACAATTAGCCCTCTATCTCTAGTACTTTCCTCAAATCCCGGCGGCAAAATGCCGCCGCCGCCGGAATCCGCCACTATCCCGGGGCGGAGAACCCAAATGAAACTCACTCCACATAGTAAAAGCCCGCCCGCAATTTCAAGAATCACGTTTTTATCAGTCGTCGCAAGGCTGCCGAATGAAACATACAGAACTGATCGGAAAGGCTTCGATTTCAGCCATTCCGTGCAGTCGGATTCCGGCAAGAGACTCCCGGCGACGGAGAATTTCGCTGGAAATAGTGGGCCGACGGCGTAAAACCGCTGCTTTTGCTGCAGAGCTGATATGGCTTCTTCTTCCAATTCTTGCACGGTGTTGCAGAGCACGAAATCCGCTTTCTTCACAGCATCGAACGCCCCGAAAATCACGGTGTGGATCATCTCCATCTCCGAATAATCGAAGTACGACATAAAATCTTTGGTGTTGATCGATTCAACTCCGGGCACATAACCCACGTCCTCTCTCCGGCCGTTGACCGGAACATGGCCGTTGACTCTCAGAAGCGGCAGATGGTAGTACAGCGAGAAAACCAACGCCGGCTCCGTCCAGAAAGAGACGTTCACCAATCCGTACTTCTCCGATATCTTTTCCGGCCAGACGCTGAAAGTATCGGCGATCAAGAAGTGTTCACTGCCCGGCGGCGAACTACTTATTATTTTTCCGACGAGTTCGTCTACTTTGTCGGGAAACCTGTGAAGAAAGAACTTCAAATAAGCGTCAAAGTCAGCTGACCTGTCGAAATCGAGGGGGAAACCGTCGCTGAAGGTAGTGTAGCTGATGTTGAGGCCGGAAGCTCTAGCTCCGGCGAAGATATCGGTTTGTGCGGGCTGAGATTGGGAGATTTGGTGGTGGATGAAATCGAGGTGGGCGAAGGTGACGGAGAAGCCCTTTGAAGCGAGCTTTAGGGTTAGGTTAACGAAAGGGATTATGTGGCCTTGTAGATGAAATGAAATCATTATAGCATGTGGCTTCTGCTTTTTGTTGTTGTTCCCCATTTTTCCTCTGTTTTATGTCAAAATATCTACAGAGGCTTTGCTGTTGGTAAGAAGAAAATCATATATATTAGGGGAAATTTTCTTAGACACCCCTTAGTTATGATCAAATTATAATAATCCCCCTCATGTTTGGGTAATTATAGAAACTCCCATCAACTATGTATTATTTTACGAAAATACTCCTCCAGATGTAAATTTAGGAATATTAAATCAGTAAAACCGAGCCGAAATTTCGGTACGCCAACATTTCATACCATTTACCGAACTGAATATACGATTTGGTTCAGTAAATAATTGAATTACATAAATTTTATGTAAAAATATTTAAAATGAGGGGTGACTGTAATTACCCAAACAAGAGGGTCTTTTTGTAATTTGATCATACCTCAGGGGTGCCGTGATTTGCCATATATATATATATATATATATATATGAGTATTATGTTATGGCTTGAATGTCCAAGGCTTTTTAATTTTTAATTTATTTTTATCGGGAATGAGAGATATTTTAGAATTTGTCGACATTTTTAAATGGTGGAAAAAAACATTATATATACTCCCAATATTAGCACACCGAAACGGTGATATTGCTATTCAAACATGTCTAACGTTTTAAAGATTACAAAATAGTAACTCATGTGGGTCCGACAGGTGCCCTTGAGTATCGGACACGCAACGTGTTCGATAAGTAAAAACGTTAAAAAATTGAAGTTTTCGTGCTACACAGATTACGTTACACCAAAGGTAGATCTAGAGATGGTGGCAAATGCATCTTACATTACGACAAAAAAAAAAAAAAAAAAAAAAAAAAATGAAGAGTTCAAATTATCTCTTCTTTTTTAGTTTCTCTACTTGGCAAGCATTCAAGTCCATAAACAAGAGCACACGGGCTAAATTAAAAAGCCCATTGAATTATCTAATTTGGAAAAAAATAATTAAAAAAAAAAAGAAAAAAGAAAAAGAAAAAGAAAAACACTAAATTGTTTGCTCACATAGATTAAGTGCTCTAGGAGCCCAAACAAGAGATTGGTCATCTAACTCAAAGCCCGGCCCGGTTTTCCTATTTATTTTGGACTTTAAATCCTCAATAAACAAGCTCAAATTTTTCTCAGATGCTCCATCACTAGTCAATGCACTCTCCAAAGTCCTACTCACCTCCTTGACTGCATTCCTCAACTTCTCCGAAGTCTTCCCACTCATCAAATACTCGATCTTCTCCCGCACCTCGCCGCGCGTAATCGAATCCCTGTCGCAGAGGTTAATTCCGATCCGCCAATCATTCACCACCAACTTACGGTTCGTGAATTGGTCCGTAAAGAGAGGGAAGCATATCAACGGCACCTTACACCATATACTCTCCAGAACCGAATTCCACCCGCAGTGCGACAGAAACCCTCCGATCGCGGGGTGCGAAATCACCTTCATCTGGCTACACCACCGCACAATTACCCCTCTACCCTTGATGCTATTTTCGAATCCGGGCGGCAAAAAATTTGCCTCGTCAGAGCTGACGATATCGGGTCGGACAACCCAGATGAAATCCGACCCGCTAGATAATAGGCCGTGAGCTATTTCCCATATATCCTGCTTGCTAGTGGTGTGTGCGTGGCTACCGAACGAGACGTATAAAACGGACCCGTCGGGTTTGTTGTTGAGCCACGGCGTGCAGTCGGTTTCGGACCAGAGGCTAGTGGCTATGGTCTGGTTGGTGAAGCAAGAGACGATTGGGCCTATTGCGTAAGTGGGCTGCTTTGTGTGGAGGGCCGAGAGGGTTTTGGACTCGAGTTCTTGGACTGCGTTGCATATTATTATGTCGGCTTTTTTTACGTCGGTGAAGGCACGGTATATGACGCGGTGGACCACCGTTGATGTGTCGTCGGATTGGAGGTACGATGGGAGGTCCGTCGGATTGACCGTTTCAACTCCGGGGATGTAGTCTATTGTGTCCTTTCTTTTTTCTGAGATTATATGGCGAAATGCATATATGTTAAATTGGTAAATCAACTATCAGAAAAAAGAATTGGAAAACAAATTAATTTGATTCAAAATTGAATTTAGTAGAAATTCAAAATGAAAAAAACAATTGAACAAATTGCACATTTAATTTTAATCCTCCAATTTTTTGAACCAGTTAATATAAATAAAATTAAAATTAGGTATTTTTATTTATTTACCTTTGGAACCAAAGTGGGAATTTTTCTTGAGGAGATCTAGGTGGTAATACAGAGACAAGACCAAAGCAGGCTCCGTCCAGAACGAAACGCTGACCAGGTTGTGTTTGGCGGCGATCGCCGACGACCAGACGTAGAACGTGTCGGCGATCAAGCAGGTGACCGGCGGATCGGAGGCGGACAGGGTGGCGACAAGTTCGTCGACGTGGGCGGAGAAGACGTGGATCAGGCCCTCGACGAACTGGTCGTGGTTGGCGGAGCGGTCGAATCCGAGGGGGAATCCGTCGGAGACGGTGGCGTAGCGAATGTCGAGGCCGGAATTCCTGGCTCCGGCGAAAATGTCGGCGGCGTCGGTGCCGGATTGAGCGCGGGAGATGCGGGAATGGACGGATTGAGTGTTGACGAAGGTGATTGTGAAACCCTGGGATGCCAATTTCATAGCTAGGGATACGAAGGGGTTGATGTGGCCTTGGTACGGGTACGGGATCATAATCGCGTGAGGCTTACGCGCAGTGTCCGCCATTGTTATCTGTGTGGGAAGAAGAAGAAGAAGAAGAAGAAGGAATTTTTGTTTGGATTTTTGAAAGGGAAATAGTAAATGTTTGAAGCAGAGGTCTCAATATCTGTCGGGAAAGAGGGAAGAAAAATAAGGTCGTAATTAAGTATTGGTAATTTAATGGTGGATTATTATTTTATTATTTAATTATTTTATATTTAGAAAGCTATTATTTACTTTTGCTTTTAAAAGAAATAAATATAAACCATGAATTTAGATATTTTTAATCTGGATATTTTATATATTAGGATTTGGTATGTGTGTTTGATTGGCTGCTCTCTCTCTCTCTCTCCATTGTCACCAATTCCCTCGTTTTCATTTAATCGTAAGATTCGGAGTTAGCTGTTTGGATTCGACATCTCAAATCATCACTAAATTTAATTAAAACTTAATTATATTTATATAAATAAAAAATAACATTGGGAAAAGCTAAAAAATGAGATTGGTCAATTCATGGCAAGTGGTTGGCACTTTAAATTGAAAATTACTTACATTATCTAATAAAACTGAAATTTAATTTAAATAGCATATACCCCAAAAAAGTAATACAAGTTGGATGAACCTTTTTCTTTTTCATTAAATTAAAACAAATAAACAATTCTACTGAGAATTGAGAAAGACATAAATTATTTATCATTTAAAAAGATGCGAATCTGTACCTAAAAGTTGAATTATTCTCTACCTAAAAGTGATGGGCCATGTTTTTTTTTTTTTTTTTGATAAATGATGGGCCACCTTGGAAATGAAATTTTGATTCAAAAATAATTATGTTACATTTATTAAAACCACTTATATATATACACTGAAATAAAATAAAAACTCACCAATTGTTATGAAATTATCTATGTTTAACTCATTGTTTGCTTATCTACATGGTACAAGATTCGATTTGACTAATTTCTTACTAACTACATAATTATTTAGTTAATTGTATGATCTAGTATTAATATTGTTAAGATTTGGTACTCTTATGTGATTTTTCAATACTATCAATAATTTATACCAACCCCATTATTGTGTATTATTACCAAAAGAAATACTCCATCCGTTCCTAAATAATTGTCACTTTTCACTTTTCACGAAGATTAATAAATTCAATAAATATATCTTGATTTTAGAAAAATCATATAAAAATGACTGAAACAACCTTTATTATTTAATGATTTAAAAGAGAAAATTAATGAATAGAGGTTCCTTAATAAGGTTAAAACAGGAAAAATGCATTTAATGCAGTATTGAAAATCTAAAGTGACAGATAATATGGAACAAAAATCTTATTAACAAAAGAAAGGTTCCTGGAGAAACCCTAGAAAACCCTAAGGTCAATTTTTCCCGCTCATTTGGAGGATATCTTATAATGGAATTAAATTTAATTTTCTAATCCAATTTTTTTTTTCATATTATTAAATTTCGTATAATCTAATAATTAAACACCTAATTAAATATTATTTTCTACTAATTCTTTAACTAATCTCCTAAATATTGGCATAATTCTAAATTAACTTTCCGTATAATCTAATAATTAAACACATAATTAAATATTAATTTCTACTAATCCTTTAACTAATCTTCTAAATATTTAATTTTCTAATCCAATTTTTTTCATATTATTAAATTTCGTATAATCTAATAATTAAACACGTAATTAAATATTAATTTCTACTAATTCTTTAACTAATCTCCTAAATATTGGCATAATTCTAAATTAATTTTCCCTATAATCTAATAATTAAACACGTAGTTAAATAACACAAGTTTAAATTAGTTTTCTAATATCTGTTTTCACTAATCTCCTAAATATTGACACAAACACTATTAATTGGAAGATAATTGTACGGGTAATTCGTCTATGGTTAGTGCCAGATAGGTGGAGAAAAACAGAAACGGGTAGCATTGAAATGGTTTTTTTGGATGAGAAGGTGATGTTTTTATTTTTCCGGATTCTTTTCTATTTATTTATTTTTATTTTTGTTTTATATTCCCAATATTTAGGAGCTAACTATTTTATTGATTTTGTAACAGGGTATGCGTATTCATGCTACCATAAAAAAGAATCTCATTATGAAATTTAAGGAATTGGTGAAAGACGGCGAAACTTATATGTTTCAAAATTTCTTGGTGGGTGATTCAAATTTACCATTTAGAGTATCTACGTACAAATTTAAGCTCAATTTTGTCGGAATGACTGTAGTTACTAATTTAGTAGCCGAATATATTCCGACAACCAACTTCAAGTTCGTTTCTTTCGACACAATAAAGAAGAATGTGGATGAATATTTACTATTTGGTACGCAATTGTTTCATATAACTTAGTTTGGTAAATGTTTGTTATGTCTTACCGTTAATCACTAATATATTTGTGTCGTCTGTATCACAAGGGTTATGTAGAAATCCTCAGTAATCAAAATAATGTTGCAATTTGATTCAGTATATAACTCTGGTACATTTGATTTAATTTATTTATTTGTACAGATGTAATTGGTCATGTGGTAGAGAAGGGGCATATAAAGGAGATCACTACAAAAGGAGAGAAAAGCAAACTTTTGGATGTTATTCTGCAAGATTTAGAGTAATTTAAATATTATATATATATTTTTTTACAATTTTTATATGGATTTATTCTTATAATATTTTTAATAATTTATTTTACATTACAGGAAAAATACAATTAAATGTACTTTATGGGAAGCATTTGCTGAACAAATTGATGCATATGTAACGAATACTGACCAAAATGGACTGTGGTCATACTTCAGTGTTTCAGGGCTAAAACTTATTGTGGTGCGTGTTAATATTTACATACCCTAATATTGATGCATATTTAGGAATTTGTTAAAATATTGATGCATATTTTTGTATATTAATTCACCTAAAATCATACTTAGGAAGCACGAGTTTGTCAAATGTTCGACATGGATCACAACTACTGATCGAACCGAATTTGAAAGAAGTTTTAGACTACAGGTATATGTACTAACATTTGATCATTCAACTTAGTATATATATATATATATATATATATATATATATATATATATATATATATATATATATATATATATATATATATATATATATATATATATATATAACCGTGAGTATACTCAATCGTTATATATTTTAATACCTGTAAATTTTACAGGCGTGAAGAAGTCTATGTCCCATCAGTTAGTCAATTATCGTCCCAACTTTCTTTGTCTCGATCGTACGATCCACTTCAGGCAGATAGAATGACCATTGATGAGTGCGTTGAGAGTACAAAGGTACGTTGATTCGTCGAACATATACCTGATATATTCTTAATTAAACAAATATAATGCTTAAGAATCGATTGTTGCATATATATTGTAGGTATGTGTTGGATCCGTACTGGCGAAAATTCTGGAAATCGAGTCGGCAGCTAATTGGTGGTATGCTTCATGTAAAAATTGTGTGAGGAAGGTCGAACCTGTCTCAAAGAAATATTGGTGCGAAGAGTGTGACGGGTTTGTTCCTGTTGTACCAAGGTAATTATACTTTGATTTGGTAATATTTTACGAAAACCATCATTCCTCTTGGTATTCGAAATTTGTATGTAAAATATATATTTTTGTACAGGTTCAGAGTTCAAGTGAGTGCCATTGATAGTACTGGATCGACTTCATTCGTAATGTTTGATCGTATTGTCATGCAATTAATTGGAAAAAGTGCTTCAGAACACCTAGGTGGTGCATCAAACAAGGTATTATTGATGTAATAAGTTATGTACATTTAAATCCACATTAGGCTAATAACCATTTTATTTTTTTGTAGGGAAACCATAATTACGGATGTCCTACAGAGATTAATATAATGCTTTGATTGATAAGGAAATTCTATTCCAAATAGAAATCAGTTTCCGAAATATTAAGTATTGGGGATGGCACCATAGGTGATCCCAATGACGGGGTGGTCAGCATTGAAATCCCTGATGACTTACTCATAAAAGAGTCAGCTGATCCACTTGCTTCAATTGTAAATGAGACATACCCATCATTTTTAGAGAATATGGATGATATCAGTTATTTGCAACACAGGGCCATACTGGCTCTGACAAATGAGATTGTTGACGTGGTAAACGATTGCATGCTATCGTTGGTTCCTAAGGAAATGAAGACATATCTCAGTTTTTATAGTACATGTTCAGCAAACGGAAGCATTGACAGACCTGATGATATTCATACGCCCGAGTTTTTGAATACCGTTAATTCTTCTGGTCTTCCAAATCACGAATTAAAACTAAAAGAAGGTGTTCCGGTCATGTTGTTGAGAAATATAGACCAATCTTCAGGTTTGTGCAATGGCACCCGACTGTCAATCACAAGATTAGAAAATCGAGTCTTGGAAGCGAAAATTATATCAGGAACCAACATTGGTCATAAGGTGTTTATTCCACGATTGACTCTAACGCCATCCGATAACAGGATTCCTTTTAAATTCCAGCGTCGACAATTTCCTATCACTCTTTCGTTTGCAATGACGGTAAATAAAAGTCAAGGCCAATCTCTTCAACACGTGGGTATATATCTTCAGAAACCAGTGTTTTCACATGGACAATTATATGTTGCTATCTCAAGAGTTACGAGTCGAAGAGGCTTGAAGATACTTATTTGTAACAACGACAGGAACACCTCAAATACTACTACAAACGTCGTTTATAAAGAAGTTTTCCAAAATCTTAACTAAGTAAGTTATTTATATATTTGGTTAAATTTATATATGGATTATTTGTCTTCAAAGTTTTATAAATGAGCTTTGTAACATTTATTTTCAATTTATAAAAAAATTATTTTTTCTTTCATTTTGTCCTACGCTGCAGGTGACATATGCTCAAGAGTTGAAAACAACTACTCTGTTGGTTTCCGGATTAATTCTTTGGTGGATATAGTTTTATACTTTTATTAGATTTTCAGTAAAATATTCAATATATAGTTTTTATTAGATTTTTCAGTTAAATAGTCAATACATTTTTATTTCTGTTTGTTTTAATGATTGTTATGTTTGTTTGTTCAATCCCGTGCATAGCACGGGTCAAGTTACTAGTATTTTAAAAAAGAGACAGTTATTGTGGAACAGATGGAGTAATTCGTACAGTGCAGGTATTATAATAACTTTTTATAATTATATTCAAATAATAAAACTTCAATTTTCCAAATACTCAACTACAAATAATACAAATAAATTCGAAAAAATCGAAAAAGAAAAGGAAAACAAAATAAGCATGCTTCATCAAATAAGCTGCCTATCATAGTTTCTTCTCACTTTAGTATCCTCAATTCTAACTTTCATATCCTCGACAAATTTATCGAAATTCACCTCGGACGATCCATTCTCCGACAACGCGTTCTCCATCTTCTTCCTAATCAATTCGACATTCTTCCTCAGTTCGAAAGAACTCTCTCCACTCATCAAGAACTTAACCCTCTCCGCCACGTCATCACACGAGACGAGTCTCCCTTCTTCGCAGAGATTAATCCCAACCCTCCAATCATCCACAACTAATTTCCGATTACTCGTTTGATCCCCCAACAAAGGGAAGCACACCATCGGTTTTCCCGCCCACAAACTCTCCAATATCGAATTCCACCCGCAGTGCGTCAGAAATCCGCCGACACCACAGTTCGACAAAACGGAGTTCTGCTTGCACCAATTCACCACAATTCCCCTGTCTCCCACATTTTCTTGAAACCCGTCCGGCAAAACGTCTTTCACCTCGGAACTCACCACATCGGGCCTCAAAACCCATATGAAATAAACCCCACTAAGCATAAGTCCCTTCGCAATTGTTTCGATATCTCGTTTACTACTGTGGGCGTAGCTTCCGAACGAGGCGTACAAAACCGAGCCACTCGGCTTCGTTTCGAGCCATTTGCTGCAATCTGATTCGGACCATAAGTTCATTTGTATCGATGGGTTGGCGAAGTGATGCGGAAACAAGGGCCCGACCGGGTAAACCGGCAGGGTCTTTTTCAAGGTAGAAATCGGTTCGGGCTCAAGTTCTTCCATAGCGTTGAAGATAATGAAATCGGCCTTCTTTGCCTCCGCGAAGGCTTTCGGGATCACTCGGTGTATAGCTTTCGACGTGTCCGTCTCGTGGAGAAACGACGACAGGTCTTTCGGTTCGATTGCCTCAACACCCGGTATGTAATCTATGGTGTCCTTGCGGTTATCTAAATCGAAAAAAAAATGATCACAATTAATAAAATGCAGGAAACTAAAAAATCATGAAATTGATTCTGAAATCATAAAATCAAGATCAACTCAGAGAAATTGATCCAAAATCAAGAATCTTACAACTCAAAAAAAAGGGCTAATCACGGCCACACGTGATGTATGGCCAAATTACGAAAAAACCCTCTTGTTTGGGTAATTACAGTCACCCCTCCTTTTAAATATTTTTACATAAAATTTATGTAATTCGGTTATTTACCGAACCAAATTGTATATATAGTTCGGTAAATGGTATCACATGTTCGGTAATTGTATATATAACACAGGGATGCGTAATTTGCCCGAAATAAATAAATATATAGAAAAAAGAAAAAGAAAAAAAAAAGGGGTTGTTGGATATTTCACTCACCAATTGAGCCATAGTGGCCATTAATCTTCAACAAGTGAGTGTGGGAGTACATGGAGAAAACCAGAGCAGGTTGAGTCCAGAAAGAAACATAAACAAGCCCATATTTGGCGGCAATTCCGTAACCCCAAGTCGAAATGGTATCCGAAACCAAGCAGTCGGGTCGGGGGTCCGAACCCGCGAGCTGACCCACGAGTTCATCCACGTGGGCAGGGTAAACATGCATCCTCCCCTCCATGAACTGTTCCCGGTTCAGAGACCGGTCGAACGACAACGGGAACCCGTCGCTGATTGTTATGTAACGTATATCCCGGCCCGAATCACGGGCCGGGCCAAATATATCGTCGCTAATTTTTGGTCGGGATTTAGTGATTTGGTCGTGTGTGGAGTGGGTGTTGACGAAGGTGATGGTGAAGCCCTTCGACGCGAGCTTCAACGCTAGTTGGATTGAAGGGTTTATGTGACCTTGGAAGGGAGGCGGTATTATTATTACATGATGATGATTAGGGTTTCTCTGATTTTCACTTTCTCCCATTTTTCTCGGATCTTTTGATTCTACTCTGATTGAATAATCACAAATATTTGAATTTGATAGGTGTAACTTTTGTTTTGTTGTGTGTTCATCATCCAGCTTGTCTTGACACAAATTGTATGCATTATGTAATAAAATATTCTTCCTGCATACTTCAATATTAGTGAAAGAATATTTTTATATGTTTACTTTTATGGTGTTAAATTTAATGGAATCTTCCAGATTTTGTGGGATGTTAGCTAGTTTGTACTTGTTTTGTGCAAAAAACGCAGTTTCTAATGCACCACAATCTGATATTTACAATCGAGAGACACGTTTTATGATCATCTTGTTTTAAAATATGAAGCTCGAATGGGGTACAATGGGTACATACAGGAGAATATTCGACATAATCTAGAAGATTCTACTAAATTTGACACTGCAAGGGTGAACGGGTACGAAGATTCATAGTTGAGGAGTGGTTATAATTACCCAAACATGAGGATTTTTCGTAAATCGACCTTACTACCGTGATTTATCTGAGTCAATTAACACAAACTCACTTGCTCCAAACGATAAGTAATCTTACGGGACATGATCCTTTATTACGTCCATATTTCTAGCTGGTTCTAATATTTTGTAATGTGTTGTGTTGTCAAAGTCAGTTTTGCTTCTTCTAGCTCAATTCCTTATCACAAAACTGACATAATTTGTCCGGTTCTAAATATTACGTTTGTCAATACCACCACACAAATTCAATCCAACTATAGCATAAATCATAAGCATGTTCATGTAATAACAAAGCCATCTATCTATAAATATTTCACACAACACAATAATCTAATTAATTATATATAAAAAAAAAAAAAAAGATTAAGAGAAATGGAAGATGAGAGTGAGTGCACCAAGCCACATGCTATAATGATTTCACTCCCATACCAAGGACACATTAACCCCTTTGTCAATCTCGCCCTCAAGCTCGCCTCCGAGGGCGTTTCCGTCACTTTCGTTCATCTCGAATTCGTTCACCACAAACTATCCAAAGCCCGTCGTCAAAACCCAAACGAGTTCGATTTATTCGACCAAGCTCGAGAATCGGGCCTCGACATACAATACACGACAATCGGCGACGGGTTTCCGCTCGAATTCGATCGTGATCTCCACCTCATGGAGTATTGGGAGTCCTTTATGCGCGATTTTCCAGCTATTGTCGATGAATTTATCGCGGAAAAAATCCGATCGCATCCGGTCCGATATTTCTTGGTCTCCGACACTATATATTGGTGGTCGTCGATCGTTGCCGAGAAATACAAACTCGTGAATGTTTCATTATGGACCGAACCAGCCTTGGTGTTTTCGTTAATGTACCACTCTCGTCTTCTTAGTGAAAATGGTCATTTTCCATGCAAAGGTATGTATGCATGCATACATTTAATTTCCTATATTTATTAAAAATAAATCTTATGTATCTAATTTAATTTTCTGAATTAATTGACTGTTTGTGACAACAGATGGTATAGTAGAGGAAATAGATTATGTTCCAGGTGTTGGAAAAATAAGCACACAAGATTTGATGCCATATCTCAAAGAAGCAGAATCGCAAAGTATAATAACGAAACTTTTATCCGTCGCGTTCGAGAATGTAAAGAATGCCGATTTCCTCCTACACAACACGGTTCAACAATTAGAATCCGAAACACTCTTGTATCTCAACAAGCAGCTACCGAATTACGCGATTGGTCCTATTAATTTCTCCGAAAGTCCCGCGATTACTAATAATAAATCGGTCGTTAGCAAGACTAGTTTATGGTCGGAATCGGACTGCACGAAATGGCTCGGCTCGAAGCCGCATGGCTCGGTTTTGTACGTTTCATTCGGGAGCCTTGTTCAGACAAGTAAGCAGGTGATTGAGGAAGTGGCTAATGGGCTTCTTCTTAGTGAAGTGAACTTCATTTGGGTGGTTCGGTTAGGTATTGCTGGATTTGGGGACGATTGTGGTGACAATAATGTTTTGCCGTTGGGATTCGAGGATGAGATTAAATTGAAGGGTAGAGGGTTGATTATTCCGTGGTGCGATCAAATTAGGGTTCTTTCGAATCCGGCAATTGGGGGTTTTCTGACGCACTGCGGGTGGAATTCGACGCTGGAGAGTATGTGGTGTGGGGTGCCTATGATTTGTTACCCTATAGATTGGGATCAAGTTACTAATAGGAAATTAGTGGTTGATGATTGGAAGATTGGGGTTAATCTTTGTGATAATTATGGAAATAAATCATCTCTTGATAGGAAAAAAGTTGGTGAGAAGATTAAGCAGTTTATGAGTGAAGCTACTTGGAAAAGCTTGAAGCTGGAAGCTGTTAAAATTAAGCAGATTTTGGAGGAGGCGGTTGAAATTGATGGATCTTCTGAGGTTAATTTTGGTAATTTTGTCAAGGATTTGAGGGCTAAAATTATTGAGACTGCAGCTTCAACTGTAAATGGAAAATTGACCAATTAGAGATGATATATGAATGGTAAAGATCTACCCGGTGTATTTCACCCGATGTAGCATAGTATAAGCCATGATATATTATATGTATATATATTATCTTGTGTGATGTGTAATATGTTACTTTGTATTCTAAATAATTAATTCTTGAAATGATTTGGGTCTCATTTTTAGCTACACCCTATGTCCCTACACATAAGGGTAGAAATCGAACGGAATGGACCTGAAATAGTTTTTTCGGAATTTTTTTAATTATTTCAAAAGTAAAAAATGAGTTCCAATTTCTGTTTCACAAGATTCGGAATGTAAAAATCCATTCCGATTTCGGTATGCATTGGAATCGGCGGAACCGCAACAGGTAGTTTCTAATACCAATTTATATTTTTGAAGATTTTAGTTTACTTAATCCTCCGATATTTATATTTTTCCTATAAAATATAACATATTTTATTGTCTTGTTAAATTTTGTTTTGCCTCCAATCTTTATCCTAGATCTTTTTGCCTCCATTCCTTATCATAAAAAACTAACATAATTTGTCCAATTCTAACACAGTTCGACGTCTGTCAATAGCACCACACAAATTCAATCCAGAAAAAAATGTCACATGTAATAAATCTTAAAAAGTAATAATTTAAAAAAAAAAAAAAAAACAGCTACAAGAATTCAAGAAAATAATTAATGGCAGCTGAGAGTGAGTGCACCAAGCCACATGCTATAATGATATCAGTCCCATACCAAGGACACATTAACCCCTTCGTTAATCTCGCCCTCAAGCTCGCTTCCAGGGGCTTTTCCGTCACTTTCGTTCATCTCGAATTTGTTCACCACAAATTATCCAAATCCCATCGTAAAAATCCGAACGAATTCGAATTCTTCTCCGAAGCTCGAGAATCGGGCCTGGATATACACTACACAACCATAAGTGATGGTTTTGCTATCAACTTCGATCGAGAACTCAACTTTAAAGAGTATTGGGAGTCGATGCTGCGCGATTTTCCGGCCATTGTCGATGAATTTGTCGCGAAAAAAATCCGATTGTCCGATCGATGTTCAGTTGATCATCATTTCTTGGTTTTAGACACTAATTATTGGTGGTCGTCAATCATTGCCAATGAAAGAATTTATGGTCCCGAATTCGTATTATACAGAGATGTTATCTGAAGTGTTGTGACACTTGAGAAAACATGCAGCGGAAATATAAAGATTAGAAGACAATGCTCAGAATTAAAAATGTTCACAAGTAAAGACTTGTGAACTTGCCCTTTACAGGACGGAAAAATCTATTAAAATCAGTATTCCAAGAATACAAACAGAAGAGGTGCGAAAACTTCTTCCTTATGAATGAATCATTCTCATGATCATTCTTACAATCAAATCTAGATACTAAAAGAAAAATATTAAAAATTCTAGATTTCAAAGAATGTACTCATAAGGAGTACGTACAACAGATCCTAGAAACACTCTAAAATTCTCGAGATTAAAACTTCAGCTCTCTATTTTGTTTCCTCGAAATCTGTAATGTTCTTGAGTCTTGAGTTTGGTATTTATAGACTTGCCAAGCTTCCACTCCTCAGCCCATGATCTGCAAGGAAACCAACCACAAGAGCACTCAAGATAATGGGTTAGTGGGTTAGTTAGGAAGTTAGAATAAAATCCACAATTAGACCCACTAATCACTACTTAGCCCACTAAGTCATAACACTTAGCCCACTAAGTAATAACTAAAATTTAGTTTTAAAAGTAAGAGAGTTAAAAAAAAAAAACACTTTTGTAAAACTAACAACGTGTTTCAAACTCCCCCTTTTTAACTTTATGATCAAAACTAAATTTTAGCTAGAACTCCCCCTGAGATATTGCTTGAACTCCCCCTGAATTTGAAAATACCAAACATAATATAGAAAGAACAATTCAAAACAAATTCAGCAAGATAGTCCAACAAAACTAAAAACAAGAAATAACCAAGTGCAGTCCTAATAAAAAGTTCTGGGGAAAATAATAAAAAAAAAACAGAACAACATATTGTTCATGAAAACATTTAAAGTAGAATCTCCAAAGTCTCCTCAGTGTCAGCTGCTGCTGCTCCTCCATCACGTGCACTGGATCCACTGCTCTCCTCTTCACCCTCATTCTTTGCTCCTTCTTCATTAACTCCTTGCCCTCTGCCTCTGGCATCCAAAGGGTGGGAAGTTCCTGCTTCAGCTTCATGGCCTTTTTCTCCCCCTTTTTGATCAGAAAGAGCCTTTTGGAGCATGTCCACCATGGTCTGGTGATAGGTAATCTGAGCTAGAGAGTGAGTAAGCTGCTGTAATAGAAGATCTCTAGGAACAGACAGAAGAAGGTTAGAAGTGTTGTCAACATTGGGAGCAACACCTTCAGTTCCCAGATTATTTTGACCTGATTCATTTGAGAGAAAATTATCTCCATTCCAGGGAAGATCTTGGACATGAGGAGCTCTTAGAAAATTTTGAGATACAGTGATCACACCATGTGGAGTGTGAAGATACTCAGAGTCATCTTGTCCCAAGTTTTGAGAGAGTAAAATGGAATAGATGAGAGAAGGATAGGGAAGATGAGTAGAGGGTGAAATTTTCTGGGCAAGATGACCTATAGTATTGAAGAAAAGTTTGCCAAAATCAACTGGTAATCCCATCCCCAATTTGTACATGAGTACAGCATGAGGTTTAGTCACCACAGAGACATTTTTGGATGGAATCCAATTCATCACTGTGAGTCTGAACAGGACAGAGTAGAAAGCAGTGAGTTGAGAAACCTTAAATTTTCTGGGGTGTGCAGGCCAACTTTTTAAACAGTTTCCAGAAATAACTTTACAAACCTCAGTAAAATCACCATAATTATCCTCATCAATCACAGTAGGAGTTTGTAAATGAGAGTTGATAATTTTGGGAGAAAATGAGAAGATTGAATTTCTCACAAAAACTTTGCCAAAGTTTGGAGAATTTTTCTTTAAGAAAGAGGTTTGCAAATTGGCATAAAATTCCTTTACCACAGTGGGATCATAGGAGCAGGCAATGTCAACAAGGCTAAGAATGTTTCTTTGATGAAGAAAAGCTGTGATTCTATGCCTATCAAATTCTTCCTTGGAAATTTTCTTTTCCTCAATGAATTGACAATTCATGACTTGAGGACTCAAAATGGAATCAGATTCAAAACAAAAATTAGGACTGAAGGCATTGTTTACCTCAAAAGGGGTTGACAAGTTCTTCCCATCCAAGTCTGGTTCTTCTTCTTCTGAAGAGTCCTCATCTTCTGAATCTTCCAGTTCATCTGGAATGTATGCTGGTTCAGGTGATGCAGCAGGTGGGACAACATCTTCTTCCTGCTGAGAAGAGTCTTCAGAAGATTCACTGTCTGAATCTGAAGAGGGCAAGTTTTTGCGAAAAGCAGCTAGAGGAACCTCCCAACTGTCATCACTTTTCTCTGGTTCTTCAGCCCGAGGAGGAGAGGTATCTGCTTGAACTGCTGCTTCTGCCAGGGTTTCCAGAGGGTCTGCATGAGGTGCTGAAGGAGTTTCTTCAGTAGTGGTGAAATCCTGAGCATCAACAGTGGGAATGTCAACATGCTCTGCAGAAGACATCCCAGAAAAATCAGGCATTTCTTCATCCTGATAAGGAGCAGCACCCTCAGCAGCATCCTGAGGAACATTTGTTGAAACAGTGGGTGCAGCAGCATCTTCTGGAACAGGTGCAGCAACACCTTCAGAAACAGGTGTAGCAACACCTTCAGGAACAGGATGTTGAGAGGCTGCTGTTGCCATGCTGGGCTGAGATGTCTCCCCCTGAGTTGATGCTGGGGGAGGTGAGTCGTTGGATGATGACTCAGATGAGCTGGAGGACAGAGCTTGACCCTCTGGTGCTGCAAAAGTAGGATCCCCTGCTTCATCATCAGTTTCTTCATCTACCAGATGAAGACCTCTTCGTGGATTTGGCCGAACTGGAGTGCGGCCACCTCTGCCTCCTCTTCTTCCACCTCTGCCTCCTCTTCTGGGAGAGATTTCACTCATCCGGCGTTGTGACCCTGCAGTATTCAAATCTGGAAAGGGGTTCATGCGTTTGGACCGGCGAGTTGGAAATCTTCCGGCAGTGGAAGATGGACCCACAGAATCGAAGTTGTCTGGGTCAATTGGATTCAGCTCGTCTCCGGGCTCAATGTAGCTGATAGGAAGAGCATCAAGGTTGACCGGATGAACGATGATGGCCAGATTTGGGTCTGCTGGTTCAGGTGCTGCAGCATCGTTGTGGACATCATCTTCGGCTGGAAGGGGATTTCTAGGTGGAGATGCCATGATACAGTAGATAAAAATTTCTTCTTTGTGCTTTTGATTTGCAAGTGTGAATTTTCGAAAGATTAAGCACGAAATTTATAAGCCCTAGTTTTTGCTGAGAAAAATCGAAGTGGAGAAGATGAAGAAGTGGGGTGCGTGGGGTGCGTTTTTCTTGGAGAAAGTGTGATTAATGAGAATAACACTTCCTTTGGCAGTTTAAGGCAAAACGTGACACATGGCATAATAAGGAGTGGACTTAGTGGAAAATGAAAGACCAACCCATGTACCCCATGACCCATATAAATAGTGATAATTCAATATAAATAATAGTAATAAAAATAATATTATCACTCACGAAATATTCACAAAAATAGAAAAAACAAATTTATTAATGATTAATAGTGTGAGAAAAAAATGGCTAACAGGCATAGATTTTATTATATATATATATATATATATTTTAAAACTCTTATTTTCAAGTCAAACAATTCACATGGAACATGATCAAGTGTTCAGTTTGAAGGTTCCTCAGTTACTAAGATATGACTATCAAAATAAAGGAGTTTGACTTATGTGAGTGGAATTATTTCCCAAATGTTTACATGAAGCATGATCACGTTTCAAGGTGAAAGACTTCCAGTTACTTATTTAGAAAAATAATTCATCACAGTGAAGTCATTATTTAAAGAAGCTAAGCTTCAGTAAATTATGTTGCAGTTTAAGATATTTGATGAGGTGTTGCAACATATTTCAGGACATGTTTATTGAGTACACATCCCGAGAGATTTTCTGAGTTTAGAAAACCTCTCATAATCTAATGCCTTTGTAAAGATGTCAGCCAGCTGATCTTCTGTAGGAATGTACTTTAAGCACACTATATTTTTCTCAACTATATCACGAATAAAATGATGTTTAATATCTATGTGTTTAGTTCGTGAGTGTTGAA